ATATATATATATATATATATATATATATATATATATAGCATATTAAGTGAGAGAAAATTTATTATGAAAGATAAAATGATTAAAATATAATTTTTAAATTAATTTTACAAATTTTTAAATTTCAGCATATCTACAGTTACCTTGTTATAACTTCACTCCAGTCACTAGTCCTGCCTTTGGCATCCTCCTCTTTACGGTTAAGGTAACGACTTCGAACATGACCAGTTCCCATATTGTGACGGGCGGTGTGTACAAGGCCTGGGAACAAATTCATTGCCGTATGGCTGACCGATGATTACTAGCGATTCCAGCTTCATGCAGGCGAGTTGCAGCCTATAATCCGATCTGAGGACGGGTTTTTAGAGTTAGTTCACCCTCGTGGGATCGCGATCCTTTGTCCTGTCCATTATAGCACGTGTGTCGCCCAGGGCATAAGTGAGAGAAAATTAATCTAAGAGTTATATTTTAACCCTCTCATCTTTCATAATAAATTTTCCCTCACTTGATATGTTATATATATATATATATATATATATATATATGAGGAGGGATCCGTTTACTCTAAGAGTAAGTCTACCTAAATTTACTCTGTTCAATAACTCATGTTCTACACCAAATTTTAATGATCTAACCGTTTGAATTTAAAGTTTTGAATGCATAGATCAAATCTGTAAATTTTTAAAAATTTTGTATTAATGAAATGAATTATCAAATAATTTTTAAATTTTTTAAAAAAATTTAGACTTGATCTATACAATAAAAATTTTAGACTTGATCTATACAATAAAAATTTTAAATTTAATGATTGAATTGTTAAAATTTAATGTAGAACATGAGTTATTGAACGGAATAAAATTAAGTAGATTTACTCTTAAAATAGACGAATCACTCTCTCTCTCTATCAATCTATCAATCAATCAATCTATCTATATATATATATATATTATTTATAAGGGAACAAAATATGCAATATTGTGCCTGTCATATCTAATCGTAGTATAAGGGGGAAAATGTCGTATAACAAAGCTTTTTTTTTTTACAGAATAATTATTACTGAGTAACATATCGTGCCTTTTAATATATTTTAAATGAATAAAAAAATAGAGAGACAAAAATAAATAAAAAATAATCTTTTTTAAGGATAAAATTTCGGTTGTGATATGGGAAGAATAACTTCAATTATTATATAATAAATAAAAAATAATCTTTTTTAAGGATAAAAATATTTAAAGAAAATTAGAGATCAAAAGAGACTATTATTATATATTGTTATAAATGTTAAATGATTCAAAACAAATAGGGAGGAAACAAAGAATAAAACATAAGATTACAACATATAAAAAATATGAGAAGTAATACATGTTATTTTAACTTGATGAGACAATGTGCACATCATAGAGCTAAAAAAAAAAAAAAAAAGCTTCCATAAAAAAAAATTATATTAATCAATTGATGAAAAATTATTATAATAGGAAAATATATGTATTTATAAAAGTACGAAAGAAGTTAACTAATCTGAAACGACTAGTTAACTAAACTGTCTCAACTAATAATTTGTACAATACGACACACACTCTCTCTATAGAGAGAGAGATTTGAAGTGATGTTGTAAATTGGACTTCTAGATCAGTAAAGCTTGCTATAAAAAATTGTTGTATAGTGAAATAAAGTATGATATACTAATATAATTTATGTTTAATTATTCTTTTAGTTTATGTAATTTTATTATCAATTTTATCTTTTAATTTTTATAATTAAATTTGTTTCATTTTAATCTTTCCTATAATTTTTAAACTTTTCTTTTTTATAATTTCTATAAAAATGGATGATAGAAACTAAAAGAGAATATAAATGATATGTGTAGAGACTAAGAACATTTTTAACTATATGAACTAATAGATAAAGTTGATGAAATTATAAGAATTAAAAGAATAGCTAAATTTACAATATATTATAATATTGAGATTATTTATAATTAAATAACATAAAACTAAAGAAGTATATTGATATAACTTGTAACTCAAGTTGATCTTAGTATAGTCTTCCTAGCTTTTTTTTTGCTTTGTGTAAGAGAATACAGGTATGAGACAAATAAATGCATATCTTTCTTCTTTTATATTCGTGTATAAATTGTAGAATTTTATGTATATGTATGAATTATTTAGTCCTTCTATCTAATTATTGATATTTGCGAGTTTTATTATGGTTAATTATTCATTTATTCTCAATTCTTTTTTATGTATTTTACATTTTTTATATCACGTTGTTTGGTGATCTCTTTAGGTAAATTGAGTACATGTTTGGATTGGATTTTCAAACTTGATTTTACACTCTCTCTCCATATTAAAGATAAATTTTACGTGGAAGCAAAATTTTTTTACTTCAACTAAACGTGAAAATTCACGTTTGCATTGAAACCAAAACATACATTGAGACTATTTAAAGTTTATATATTACTTTAAAAATCAGTCCAAATACCTATTAAGTTGAAATATTTTATTATCAGTATATATAGCAGTTTAAGAAAATGTATTAAACTATATTAAAATGAATTGAAATATAATTCAAAATTATTCTCAAAATATTTTATCTAATTTTTAAAATCTAAACTCATCAAATTACCTTTAAATTGAATCAAGTCAACAGAACGAGACAAATCATAGGTATTTTTAGGGTTTATTTAGTAACAAAGAAATGGAAGAGGCAGGGGAAATAGAGATGAGGTGGAAAAGAAGCTTGTTTGGTAAAATCACAATAGAAAAGAAGAGAAATAAAGAGGTATTCATATCTCTTAATATCTCAATTGTGTGGGATGGAAGCAGCGTCACAACATGCAACTATGTGTTGGGAATTTTGTGATGGATGTGACCATTTCATTTATCATAATTAGTAATTGTTATAAATTGTTTTATAAGAGCATTTATTAAAATCGTCAAAAATAATATATAAAAAAACAAAAAATCAATTTTCAACTCTTTAAGAGATTATTGTTACTTCAACAATTAATTATTTGGTAAGTTTTTAACTTTTTCTATTTATTTATTTTATTTTTATTTTTATTTCTCTTGAATCAAATATCTTTAAAATTTATTTATTTTTATTGTAATTCTACTTATCTTTAGAATTGTTACCTTCATGTCAAGTATATGTAGACCATTAATTTCTATTTATCCTGTTTTAGTACAAAAATTTTAAATTGAGACTAGAATGGAGCACCTTGTTAGGTGGTTCATGATGGAACCAAAATTACAACCCTTAAATTAACCAAACTCATGTAAATTATATCTAAGTTTACCATACTCTATTATTTCTTCTTCTCCCTCCAACTCAATTCCTCCATGTCACACCTTTCACCGTCCCCTTTTTTCCACTGCATTGTTAGCACAATCTCATGCACATACATTGGGAAGAGAAAGACAAACAAAAAACTAATCATCATTGTATAATTATTTTCGGTGAATTCTTTATTTAAATATGTACGGTAAATTATGATTCTTAAATAAGATTTGATGATTATTATAAGGTTTGTTTTATAGAAAATAAAATTTATAATGATAAAAAAATAAATGAGGAGTTTTGTTACTATATTCGATGTGTATGTATATATTATTATTTATATATCATGTTAACTTTTTAAATTTTTTTAAATTTTTTTTATATTATTTATTTTTAAGTTTTTATTAATTTTTTTTTATAATTATACAGTAGCAATCCCTCTTTTTATTCTTGTTGGGGACTTCTTTGTTTGAGGAAAGATTTAAGGAGGTTCGTTCATCGCGGTTCATTGTTACACTAGGCTACCCTTCTTCGAAAGTTCCGGAGGACCACTTACCAGTTACCACTAATCTTCGATGAGAGGGGTTTATTGCACGAAAATGCTGGGACACAGGCTCCTAAAGAGGGAAGCCCAACAAATGTCAAATGCAAAGTTTCGTACCTCATTAAGATCATATTGACATCAAAAATGATGCATCCTCTGAAAGTAACCTCCGAAAAGCATTCCGAAAATTTAAATATTAATTTAAATTATAAAATATTAAATTAAATAATTATTTTATAATAAATTTATTAAAAAATATTAATAAAATATTATTCGGAGGATGATTAGGCCTCTATTTTCTGAGGCTGTACCAGTGTTCTATTGACATACTCTCCAAAAAAAAATAAGAGCAGACCCTGTTGAATACCATAGTAAGGTAAAATAAGGTCATTTCTGTCCATTGTCTTTTTCACATAGCCGTACATAGACATTACATGCACGATTTTTCATTTCTTAAGAAATTAAAAGTAAATAATAATATAAAAAATTTAAGTAAAAAATTAAATTTATTTAAAAGACTAATATGACATTTAAATAATAATGTATACATACACATCACATAAAAACCTCTCATTTATTGAGAATACATAAGTAACCTCCTAAGATAAATATTGGTTGAATAATCATTTTTAAAGTATCAAAAACTAAAAAAAAGAAAAGAAAACATATATACTATACTAAAAGAAAAAATTGGTACAAAATTACACACAAATATCTCTCATGAGAGTAAGTAGAATGACGTACAAAGGAAATTTGTGTGAAGTGTTTAGAATTTAGGGTTTCTGATTTTTAATTTTGACTCCAATTTGAGTATTTAAATAAATAAAAATTACAGTAATCATTCAATATTAACTCTATACATGTACAATCTTAATAATTTCTAAAAATTGTCGCGAACCATCTTATACCTTAAATCCGAAAATTTTGATATTAAAAAATTCATTGGTTGATCATCAGAGATCTTTGGACATCCCTTTTTAAGCTTTCTTTGAGTAATTTTTTTTTAATCTCTTTCTTAAAGTATGTTGAAATTTTGCAGATTACAGTAATATATTATTATATTATATTACAATGTTGATTTAGGACGTGTGAGAATGAGAAAGGCATTTGTGAGGGACAGGGACATTGGACATTGATGCATGGGAAGTATGAGTTGGGGTGGGAACTAGGGCACGGAACGTTCTCAAAGGTGCATAACGTGGAACCTGAAGACAGGGAGAAGGTGATAAAGGTAGGAATGATAAAACAATATAAGTGGAATTCTCTTCCACTATTGTCAAAAAAATAAAAAAAAAAAAAGCCCAGTTTTTATTGAAGATATATTTTTGAAATTTGTGAAATAATTATTTTAATCTGAATATGTAACCCATGTCCCATATATCTTTGGTTTATCCACGTCATAACACGTGCCTTGAATCGAATAAAGAAAAAGGAAACGATAGGGACCACATTCATGGACTGAACTAAAGCTGCAAGTAGGATATACCATGTTCATGGCCCATTCAGATTCCAATGCCGTGGCTGCTGACGTTTCCTCACCTCTCTAATTTTATTTTTTAACCAAACTTCTAAGCAACAAGGTGTCCATAGCCAAAAATGAAACATATATAATCGTAACTATGCACATCACTGGTTACGTCATCACAATATAAAATAAAATATTTTTTTTAACATATGTCGTGGCTCATATGTATTTCGGGCCTCGTGAACTCTACTTACTAGACCTCGGGAGTTTCTTTAACAGTTGTTCAACGTTAAAATTCTATTTTGGTTTAAAATCAGAGAGAATTATTTATATAATAATTTTTTTTAAGTTCCTTAATATTACTTGTTTAATGAACAACTTAACTCATATCATTCATAACTTGTTACACAATATAAGATGAGATAAAATTAAATCATTGAAGCCAGCATATGATTCAATTGTCCTTATTAAATTATGAGTAACTTAATTATCTTGACCCTAGAATCTACTCCATGTTTATCCTCACTCTCATTAGGAGTGGACTAGGAAAGTGTAGTCTTCTCTTTACTATTATAATTAATATCTTTATCCCTTAAGATCATGATGTGAAAGTCATGCATTTATATACCATACTCTGTAGATTCGGAAAATAGAGTAGCATCAATGTTACATTTTAAGTATCCTATTCCTAAAAAAAAGTGAAAATAGAAGAGTAAAAATAAGATCGGTAATTTGATTGGTAATAAAATATCCTACCTTTTTATTTTTACATAAGATAGCTCCAAAATGTCGTGGAGAATGGTCAATACATTGTACTTTCTGACCGTTTTTCTGGCAATTTTAAATAGCCTTAAAATGTATTATATATATTTTTTTTTTATTTTTTTGGCTGTTTTGAGCAGCCATAATTATTTATTTATATTATTTTCACAAATACTGAGGGTTTTCAAAACATTAGTAACTATTAAAATCGATTAATTTTTTTTATTTGATTACCACTCAGGAAGCGTACATAAGTCATGGAAAAAAAATTATTATAAAAAATTGATTATAGTATTATTTTTATTTCTCTCTTCTCTATTTCTTACTTATTTATCTTAAATCAAACAATTAAATTCTTATTTTTTTTTATCTATTTTCAAGGTTGGTCTAAAGATACAGTCAATAAAATTCTCGTTTTAGGCCCTTTAAAAAATTCTCTTAGTATAAAATTGTGTAACAATAAGAAAGTATATTTGAAAACTTGTCAATAAAACAAAATTTCTCAGGAATTAATGGTCATTTTCTTCATGGTATAATATATTGATTAGAAAAGAAATTCATTGTCTCTAAGCATATAATGAAAGATTTGATCTAATGTTAGAAGTGAATTCTTTAATATATAAAGGAGTAGTAGTAGTTATTTACACTGCACTGTCTCTAGGCACGCTCTTTTCATGCCCCAATTATTCATATATTTTTGTTTATTTTCTCTGGACCAGTCGGCTATCACGATAAGCGTCATTTCCAATGCTGGAAAAGTATGTGCATAAATTATTTTGCAAAGATAATTACATAATGTTAAAGAGAGTCAATATTTGTTTTGGAGGAAACAAAGTATATGTTGACAAACCGACTATAACGACAGATTTATTTTATTTTATTTTACTTTTTGTATGGACCTAACCTACCGAGTATAACGTACGTATTGCTATGGTCTACTAATTAGAATAGAGAGTGGGAGTGGAAGAGGCATTCTTTGAGTTGAGAGGTTCAGAATGAACGGTTTAAGAAGTGAACGAGCCCCTCTCTTGGAGACTGAGCGTGGAGTGAGTCAATTTCAATTACAATTTCTTGCGCTACATATGTTTTCTGCTCTTTCTAGTTTGTATTATTGGTCTCTTCTCTTGTATTGTTATTTAAACCTGCTTCTCTGTCTATGTTTCACTTTCTGTTCAGTTTTGTTTTGGAGACTGTATGTTCAGCTCAAAACAGAGTTTAAGTTTTACTCTTTGTCATCTTTCGCCTTTTTTTTGTATTTATTTTTAATTTTTCATTTTTTCATTTTGGGGCCTGAATGAGGTTAAACCTTAAACCTTAAACTCGGTCGTTTTGTAACGGTTCTAAACGGTTTGGAACTCATGCATGGTTTATTGGTTAAGGCTCCTTATCTAGTAACAATTGCTCTCTGAAACTATGAATTAACTCCCCAGTTATTGTTATCGTTATGCATTTAGTATGATTGTAGTAATTAAAAAGAAACTAAACTGCGAAAGGGTTGTGGAAGTGGAAATGTTTCTGCGATTGCGTTTATCATTCTGGTACTCCATTAATTTTTCCGGTCTATATAGGGAAGGGGAAAGAGGGATGGTGCCTCAGAAGGTCAAGTCTCAGACCTTGAACATGGTGATGCAGTGCCGGTAATCATTTAATTCTCTATGTAACATATCATCTCTCATAGCATCATTTTAATATGTGCAATTGTTAACTTTATGCTTGGAAATTACAGGCGGCAAATGTGGGATTCTTTCGAGTGTTTTCACTTGTAAGTGACCAGTGTTTGTTTGGATGAATTGCTGCCATATTTTTGTGATCATTAAAGTTTTTTTTTCTCCTGTTTTGAATTAATTGCAGGCAAAGCCCGAGGCCGGGAAGTTGGTGATTGGTACAGTGGCTTTGTTGATTGCAGCCACATCAAGTATCTTAGTTGTATGCATCTTTTACTTTCTCCCCCTTCCTGTCCTTCTCACACACACAGATACTACATGTATCTTTGTTATTTGCTGTCATCATTGCGGGATGCAGATTGCAAAGTTTAAGATGCTTTCGAATGCTGCAGCAAAAATTTGGTGGGAAGATTATTGACATTGTCTCAAGGGATCTCCGAACTCCAGAGGAGAGAGATGAAGCTTTGAATGCTGTTAAGAGCACTATACTAGAAATTTTTCTGATCGTTGTCTTCGGGTATGATCCTTGCTTAAGTACTATCCAGTTAATCATAGATAGATATTGTTTTATCTGGAAGTAGTTATGAACTTATGACTTTAGATCTGTCACATGATGTTTATGAATCCCAAGTGGTTCACCGAGTTTTCTTGGTTTTACAGTTCAATTTGCACTGCACTTCGAGCTTGGCTTTTTTATACTGCTAGTGAAAGGGTTGTTGCACGTCTGAGAAAGAATTTGTTCAGTCACCTCGTAAACCAGGTAAAACAATTGTCATAATGGCTCTTGGATTGTGTGTCTTTAGATGTGTTACTTTCTCTTAGTAGGCTTATATATTGTGGATGATGAGTTTTCAGGAGATAGCCTTCTTTGATGTTACACGAACCGGGGAACTTTTAAGTAGGCTATCTGAAGATACACAGATCATAAAGAATGCTGCAACCACCAATCTTTCTGAGGCCCTGAGAAACTTTTCAACTGCATTTATTGGTCTGAGTTTCATGTTTGCAACATCATGGAAGTTAACATGTGAGTAATTCATCATCGAAGAAATACAGTACACACATTTTTTATGTTTATCCTAACCAATGTTTTTAAAAAATTAGATCAATCATTGAACTAGTGAAACTTTGGTTCACAATGTATTGGTTCATTCAATTATTGTCAAACTAGTGATAATTAAGTAAATATTTATAATATCTTATATTACATTAAGCAATGAGTTAACATAAAATATTAAGAAATCAAATCAGATGAAATTTAACATTAGCATAAAAGGACCATATTAAATCCAGCAAAATAGAAAAATAAATAATAGCAACCCATGTGTGGGCAGTGGACCTAATACATGGCATGTTATTTGTATCAAAAAATATTTGGTTGAATTAAAAAATGAAATAGTAAATAAATAAATACTTGTTCAAACTGGTTTATTGCCACCAGGTTGAGTGGTTCTCTAATTGTCTGATCTTTTAAGCTGTCTAGATCGATAACTGGACCACTTCACTGGTTCTCTGGCCAAAGTAGGTCAACCGGATTTTTTTTATCCATTATCCTAACTTTTCTCTTTCATCAACTTTTATAGTGTTGGCTTTGGCTGTTGTACCTGTTCTTTCTGTTGCTGTTCGCAAGTTTGGTCGTTACCTGCGAGAACTTTCTCATAAAACTCAAGCTGCAGCAGCCGTTGCTTCATCAATTGCTGAAGTATGTTTTTTTTCATCAAACAGATATCATAGGAGAAAAAGAAAATGGTTAAACTGATATTAATTTTGATTGTGTTGCACAGGAATCCTTTGGTGCAATAAGAACTGTAAGATCATTTGCCCAAGAAGATTATGAAATAACACGCTACTCAGATAAAGTTGAAGAAACACTTAACCTTGGTCTTAAACAAGCTGTGAGTGAGCTAGTTATAGTTTGATACATGTGTGTGTAATTTTATTTGTTTACCATTACAGAGCATTTAATCTTATATCTCTTTGGCAATGCAGAAAGTTGTTGGACTCTTTTCTGGAGGTCTTAATGCTGCATCTACACTTTCAGTTATTGTAGTTGTTATATATGGAGCTAATTTGACAATCAAGGGTTCCATGTCCTCCGGTGATCTTACATCTTTCATTCTTTATAGTCTCTCAGGTAAGTTCATCTTTCTATTTTTCTCCTTTTGATGTGAATGAAACCTGTGAAACATTCACAATTGAAAGTATGTATGATCCATGGATATTAGTTATTAGTTGGTTAAGATGCTAGTTATTTATTTATTTATTTTTTGATAAAAGATGATGCTAGTTATATTTCTTTCTTGATTTATTTTAGTGATAGTTTAATCTGTTGTATTTATAATGACTCAGCTCCTTTGCCTTGTTTTAGTGGGGTCTTCTATATCTGGTCTGTCAGGATTGTATACAGTAGTTATGAAAGCTGCAGGTGCTAGTAGAAGGGTATTTCAACTTTTGGATCGTACCTCATCCATGCCTAAGTCGGGAAATAATTGTCCACTGGGGTCAGTTTCATATATTTTTCTAAAATATAACTTTGAGAAATGTTAGCAATACAAGACAAACACTTTGTTTAGTTCGCTGAAATTAATGCAGTACCCACTAAATAGGGGGTAGGACGGATATCATTGAGTGAATCACTCATGAATATTACCAAAAAGTAAAAAGTGTGGACAGTTTGCCTCTCATTTGACCTGTTTTTGTATTTTGCTTTTTTACAATCCTTGAACACGGGTTCAGATCCTCTCCAGTGACATTCACTGAATGATATCTTAACCATTAAAATATTTAATTTATTTTATTAAAAATACTATAAACTAATGTTGAAAAATTATGGATGAATGAGATTTATTCAAGAGACACTCATGTTAAATTTCAATAGAAAGAATCCTTACATCCTTGAACATAGTCCAGGAGGACCAGGACGTGCAGATGAAGGAGTTTGCTTTTTGAAATTTTGTACTCAAACATTTTACAGTGTCCTAATTTTTCTCTCAAATACTGTATTGCTGATAAAAATGTGGTTAACTCATTATAAAATAGTCCTTGCAATATTTAGACACTTATGCCTTTGTTGTTTAATGTTTTCTAAAATTTGTTTGTCTCCTGAGAACATTTGAAAATATTTATCCTCTGAACACATTTTTGTATTTTAAAAGTTTGTATCCCGAGCACTTAAAAGAAAAGTGAAGAGGATGAGAAAATTTCTCCCAGTTTCTGTTTTTTTTTTTTTGGGTTTTAAAACACTTGTTTTGGAAACACTTTTGAAAACTTAAAAGATTTTGGGGAACTTGATTGTTGGGTAGTGTAAATTTGTTTTAGAAAATAGTTTTTAAAACTAAAAAGTGATAAGAGAATCAAACATGCCATTATAGAGGCCACCCTGTTTTCTCAGTTTTACTGAGAAGTGAAACTTTATAATCTAGAGAATGAATGCCTAACACAGGCTGAATTATATAATGTAAATTTTAGAATCATTTCATAAATTAAATATATCCATTTTCTATGGAAGATAGGTGATCTCATAAAACGAAAAGTCACACTAAATGTTTTTTACTGTAGTGATCAAGATGGTGAAGTAGAACTAGATGATGTGTGGTTTTCCTACCCATCACGCCCTAATCATCCAGTGCTCAAGGTAGCAGTTTCCTTCTAGTTTTCTGTTCTGGCTTTACAAATTGAGTTGTAAACTATTAAGCAAATTATATTGCATTGTTCATCTTTAGGGCATTACATTGAAACTGCGTCCAGGAACAAAGGTAGCTCTTGTTGGTCCAAGTGGTGGTGGAAAGGTATATAGTACACATCTTATCTTTATTTTCCCTTTCTTCCTGTTTTTATTTTTGCTGTTCATCATTCCGTAATGTTCTTATTTAACTTGCTTGGGTTGAAGAAGCATAGAAAGGTAAGCAAGGTGGAGTGAAAGGAGAAAGCATTGAGAACCTGAACTTGTTTCTATTTTGTGCAGAGTACAATTGCAAACTTGATTGAAAGGTTTTATGACCCAACCAAGGGAAAGATTCTACTGAATGGCGTTCCTTTGGTAGAAATATCGCACAAGCACTTACACAGAAAGGTATCTTGATGTTATATATATACACATATGAGGAGTGATCCACTTATTCCAAGAGAAAATTTACTTAAATTTACTCAATTCAATAATTCATGTTCTACATCAAATTTTAACAATCCAATCATTGGATTAAAGGTTCTTAATATATAAATCAAGTTTACGAGTTTTCAAAAAATTTTAAAGCTATTTGGTAATCTGTTTCATTAATTCAAATCAACATATAAAATACTTTTATGATTATCCATCAATTTGAATTAATGAGATAAATTATCAAATAGTTTTCAAATTTTTAAAAAATTTGCAGACTTGATCTATGTATTAAGAACTTTTAATTTAATGTTGTTAAAATTTAATGTAAAATATGAGTTATTGAGTGAAATAAGTTTAAGTAGACTTATTTACCCTTTGGAGTAAACGGATTCTTCTCTATCTCTCTCTATATAAAATCCTGAGTTTAAATTTGTTTAGTTTTTTCTTCTTTGATAGTCAAGTGTTTGAATTTAAATACTACAATTTTTCGTTATTACTATTTACTGGCGAAAACGGGGACCATGGATTAATAGGAACCATGGATTAATAGGTTAGCACTGTACAACTGTTTCACTACAAGACAACATTTTAGCAACTGAATATCACAAGTACGTTTCTGTACATATTAACTTTATGTTGTGATTCAGGAATTGTGTGTATTGTTGTACACATACCAATCTTATTTATAGAGTGAATACAATAAATGATAGAGATACTAATCTCTTATATTATGGAAACTAATCTAATCATATCCCTAATTGATAGTGAGGATAATAACCATAATATATGTATCCATAATATCTGTAATATATTCACAATATCCAATATCTGTAATATATTCACAATATCTGTAACGCTCCCCCTCAAGCTGGAGCATATATATCATATGCACCAAGCTTGTTACAAATATAATCAATCCGAGGTCCTTTAAGCGATTTTGTGAACACATCTGCTAACTGGTCACCGGAGGCAGCCGAAGGCAGCGGTCAGAGGCGGCGATCGGAGGCAACGACCGGAAGCGGTGATCGGAGGCGACGGCCACTTGAAGCGACGATCGGAGTCAGCGGTCGGAGTTGGTGACCAGAAGCGGCAATCGGAAGCGGCGATCGGAAGCAGCGGTCGGAGTCGGCGATCGGAGGCGATGACGGAGGCAGCGGTCGAAGTTGGTGACCGGAAGTGGCAGTCAGAGGTGGCAATCGGAAGCGGAAGTTGGAGGTAACGACAGGAAGCGACCAGAGGCGACGGTCGGCGGCGCGGCAACTGGCGGCACGCCGACCGGAGGCTGCAGTCAGAGGTAGCAACCGGAGCGACGGTCGGCGGTGCGACAACCGGAGGTGGTAGCCGTCGGCACAGTGGCCGACGGCGGTCAGAGTGGGTGACCAGAAGCGGTGGTCGGCGGCGCAGCGATCGGCGGCGATAGCCACCGGCGCAGCGGCCGACGGCAGCCGGAGGTGGCAGCAAGGGCCTTAGCAAGAAGAGAGAAAAAATATATTCTAAAAGAAAAGAACCTAAGCTCTGATACCATGTTGTGATTCAAGAATTGTGTGTATTGTTGTACATATACTAATCTTATTTATAGAGTGAATACAATAAATGATAGAAATACTAATCTCTTATATTATGGAAACTAATCTAATCATGCACAATTCCTGAATCACAACACTTTAGATAAGACATTTATACACTACCGACAATGATTTACCCAATTTAGTCTTGTAGTGTCATGTTTTTGCGTTTTAGGAACCTATATATCTTGTAGTATTATGAATTGATGAGTATGGGATAAAGTCCTGATATATTAACCTGTTAAGAAGTCAAGGTGAAAAGCTATTTATTAGTACATACCTTGTGCCTGATATATTCTCACCTATTACATTTTGTGGTTTTCTGTCTTATTGTTTGGGAAATTAGATTGAAGCACAGATGTAATATGATATGCCCTTGGTAACAATACATGGGACTCTCCAAAATCTAACTTTCTTTTGTGATTTGATAACTTAAAATTAATGCAGTTTACTTGTGTATTTGCAGATCAGTATAGTGAGTCAGGAACCTACACTCTTCAACTGTTCCATAGAGGAGAACATAGCTTATGGATTTGATGGCAAAGTGAACGCTGTTGATTTAGAAAATGCTTCTGTAATATTTACTGTCTTCATTCTCTAATGAGACACCTCTCTCCCAGCTCTCATTTGCTCATAATTAGTATGGATTTGAATGCAGAAAATGGCCAATGCACATGAATTTATATCAAAATTCCCAGAAAAATATCAGACCTTTGTTGGAGAGCGTGGGGTAAGGCTTTCAGGAGGGCAGAAACAAAGAATAGCAATTGCTAGAGCCCTGCTTATGGACCCAAAAATTCTCCTCTTGGATGAAGCGACCAGTGCCCTGGATGCTGAAAGCGAATACCTAGTGCAGGTGAGTTAACAATTAATATATTATCTTTGTTGTGATACTTTTTCCAGTTTCATGAACATATAAACTAGTTTTTATTTTTTTGCACAATATACTAATGGTGATGGATGTGGTGCAGGATGCCATGGAGTCTCTTATGAAAGGAAGAACAGTTCTAGTCATTGCTCATAGGTTATCAACAGTTAAAACTGCTGATACCGTTGCAGTTATATCTGATGGCCAAGTAGTTGAGAGTGGCACTCATGATGAGCTTCTCAGCAAGAACGGTGTCTATACTGCATTAGTGAAGAGACAACTGCAAACAACAAAAGCCGAAGCTGAAATCTAGTCTCTGACCCTCTGTGTGGTAGCAAATTAGTCTCTTGTCTGCCGGTCAGGGGAGGGGCATATGATACTGAGGCACAAGTTCATTGGAATTGGAAGACCTTCACTCCCACACTTTCAAGTTACAGCGTTACTCTGTTTCAGAGGAAAGAAAAACGAGTAGAAAAAATTTGAAATTTGAATTGCAGAGGAATTAGAAAGAAAAAAATTATTTTTTAAAAAATATCAAATTTCTTTCTATTTCCCTCTTAGTTGCTGTTCAGCCAAATAAAAAAAATGTTTCATTATCCATATTTTCTTTCATCTAGTCCAAAGGCATGATCAAAGTTTAGCAACAAATTGTGGATACTACACATTAACTACCCCTATAGTCTGTCACAACATATTTATGGCACTTAATAATACATAATATATGCTTTTAACTTCATTCCTAGTTTTATGTAATAGATGATAACTAGTGAATTGTGAGCATATGTTTCTGTCATGTCCAATGAGGTGTCATTAACTTTGTTACAATTTGCCTTTTGTTATCAGGCAATTGTAACCAACTTGGGTATTATTAAGTTTGATGGCCAATGAAAATTTTACATCATCATTCACTAAAATTCTATCTTCTTTAATTATTCTCTACACAAGTATTTTCGTTCCTTACAACGAAATCCATTCTAACATTGGAATTCCTATTTTGAGTAAGGAATATTCTCGGTATACTCCTTAAATATCTAAACTGTTCCAATTGGTATCAAAGGCCTAGGTGGTTCATCGGCAATGGCTACTACAACTCAACATTAGGTTACGATGGTTGAGCTTGAGAAGAAACAAGAATAGTTTAATGCTCAATTAGAGGAAATTAGTATGAGTATGACCTATTTAGATCAACTAGATGTAGGAGTGAAAGAAATCAAAAGCTTATTATGAGCTCACACCACCCAAAAAAATTATAGTTCCTTTGGTAGTAGTGATGGTGGTTCCTCTACGAACAATAACGGCGACACCTGCAATTCCTACTCTACTCGCATCTCTACAGTGGGTTTTCCTTGGTTTAATGGCAAGAATATGAAAGAATGGTTGTACAAGTGCACCCAATTCTTTTCTTTGGATGGGACTAGCGAAAACTCTAAGGTTCATTTAGCCTCAATAAAGTTTGTTTAGCCTTGATCCACCTCGATGGAGTTGCCCTACAATGGCATCTCAGCTGTATGCATAGTAAGTTTGATATTTATCCTTCTGTCTCATCACATTGCTGATGTAACTCAATGATTTGGTGAAGTTTATGATGACTCGTTAGCTACTCTAATTCAAGTGAAAAGCATAGGCAAGATCCAGAAATATGCATATGATTTTGAGCTCACCTTAACTCAAGTAGCCTTACTTCCTAAACACTCTTTGAGCTTTTTCTTGGCTGGTTTGGAACATGAAACAGATGAAGATTAGGATGTTCAAACCACTTCCATTTCTCATGTAGCTAACCTTGTAAAATTGCATGAAGTTTCCAAAGCTCCTATCAATAAGCATGATGGTCGTAATTAGGTCCCTCTCACTAAATTCAATAACCACCCGCCTAAACCTTTTTTTTTTTTCCACAAACACACCTCCACAAAATCCAAACCCTAGACCCTTGCTAAATAGAATTCCGAGAACCTTTAATGTTGTAGAGATGGCTGAGAGAAAGGCTAAGGGACTATGCATGTTTTGTGATGATCCTTTTTACACCAGGCCATCAATTGAAACATAAGAGATCTCAAGCTTTAGTGATGGAGTTGGATGAGGAGGATCCTAATGAGGAAGTTGGTAATGCAAAAACTGAGTTGGTAGTGGAAAGTATGGATAACATTACAATTGAGACTCCTAAACTTTCTTTGAATGCTATGACAAGAAATTTTAGTTTTTACATTAAGAAGGTGTCTAGCCTGCACAATAAAACATTGTTGCATATTTTATTTGATAGTGGCAACACCCATAATTCTTGGATTTGGATGTGGCCAAGAAATTAGGTTGCAAATTGGAGAAAATTTCCCCATTGGCAACCACAATTGAGGGTAGCAATAAATTAAAGGCTCCTTTCATGTGTAAAGGGTTTACTTGGGTAATGCAACAAACTATTTTCATTGTTGATGTCATTGTTCTTCCTTTGGGGTGTTATGATTTGATTTTAGGCATCCAATGGTTCACCTTTTTGGGTCCAATTTTGTGGGATTTCTTTAAACTACAAATGGAGTTTACCACCAACGGTAAGCAAGTTTGTTCTTAGAGGTGCTATGACCTTGGGTATCAAACTAATTAATAAGAAATCATGATATCAAGCAATACAACAAGATGCTCAAATGTGTTTTTTTGTACATGGATCAATTCGACAATCATGCGGAGATGCCTACTTGCTAAATGCTAACTATGTTAGAAATGACTTGATTATTGTCAACTGATATTGAGCTCTTGCTTGATGAATATACAAGCATTTTTGGGAACCAATTGAGTTACCTTCTTCTAGACCAGGTTTTGACCATTGTATTCCTTTTGAAGAAGGTTACCAACCCCTTTAATTTGAGGCCTTATAGATACTCCATCATTCAAAAGGACATTGTAGACAATTTTGTAGAAGATATGCTATGGTAAGGGCTTATTCAATATAACAATAGTCCTTTTGCTTTTCCAATAGTGTTAGTAAGCAAAAAGGTGGCTCTTGGAGGTTGTGTGCAGATTATAAAAGGCTCAACCAACTTACCATTAAAGAGAGGTTCCTAATTCCACTCATAGAAGACTTAATGGGTGAATTATGTGGTGCTACTATCTTTTCTAAGTTTGATTTGAAGTTTGGGTATCATCAAGTTTGCATGAAAGCAGGAGAAGATTACAAAACTTCCTTTAAAACTCATGTAGGCCATTTTGGGTACCTTATGATGTCATTTGGGCTCACTAATGCACCTACCATTGTTCAAGCTCTTATGAACCACATCTTTCATCTTTATCTACACAAGCTTGTCATAATTTTCTTTGATGACATTTTGATTTACAGTCCATTATCAAGGGTCATGTTTCTTATCTACAATTGGTATTTAAAATTATTTAGGACCATAACCTATTTGTCAATAGGGAAAAGTGCAACTTTGCTACTGCAAGAGTCGAATACCTTGGCCATTTTATCATTAAGGATGAGTTTCAACTAATTCCTCTAAGATTTGAGTAGTGGTAGATTGGCCACAACCTCAAAACCTTGAATAGTTGCGAGCTTTTTTGGGGTTACCCAGCTAATATCGAAGATTTGTCTATAATTTTGGCAAAATTGCAAAGCCTCTAACTGGCATGCTTAATAAGGAGGGATTTACTTGATTCGAAGAGTTTATTGAGGCTTTCTAAACTATTAAGAAAGCCTTAGTTACAACCCTTGTTTTGGCACTTCCAAATTTCTCTAAACCTTTGTGGTTGAAATTGATGCTTCAAGCAAAGGTATTGGTGTTGTTTTGATGCAAGATCATCATCCTACTACTTGTATTAGTAAATCTCTTGGTCCAAAACACTAAACCATGTCTATTTTTGAGAAGAAGCTTTTTGCTATTGTGTATGCCATCTAGAAATGGGAAACCTATTTGTCACATGGTCCTTTTGTGGTTAAGACTGATCGAAAAAACATTAGGTTTTTGTTGGAACAAAGGCTCAACACTCCCTTTTAGCAGGTACGGATGTCTAAATTCATGAGCTTCAATTTCATTTTTCAATACAAGGAAGGAGTGACTAATGTAGCAGTTGATTTTCTTTCATGACATACTAGAGCTGAACTATTACCATTGTAGTTAGATAATGCTCAACAAGGATTGTTAGACCAAATTAAAGTTGTATGGCTTTCAGACTCAAAGTTGCATCAACTTATTTCTGACTTAAAATAGAATCCTACTTCTCATCTGAAATTCACATGGAATCAAGAGGAATTAAGAAGAAAAAGGTAAATTAGTTATTGGTGAGGACTTAGTACTAAAAGATATCATTCTCAAGTGGCTTCATGACTCCTCATTAGGAGACCATTCTAGAAGATATGTAACAACAGTAATAGTTAAATCTTTATTCTTTTTGGAAAGGCATGCTCAAGGACATTCAACAATATGTTAGAAAATGTGATATTTGTCAGGAATTTAAACCAAACTTGGTTGCTTCTTTGGGTCTATTACAACCTTTTCCAATCCCTAATAGGATTTGGGATGCTATTAGCATAGATTTTATTGAGGGTCTTCCATTCTTTGTTGGAAAGCAAGTTATCCTTGTATTAGTGGATCATTTGAGCAAGTATGCACATTTTTTTGCCACTTTTACACCTTTACACAACACTTGAGGTTGCTCAAGTTTTCCTAGATAACATCTTTAAATTATATGACATGCCTATTTCCATTACAAATGATAGAGACCTTATTTTTCTTAGTAAGGTTTGGAGTGACCCCTTTCAACTCTAAGGGGTGGCATTAAACAAGCCTACAACCTACCATCCTCAATCTAATGTTCAAACTAAGGTTGTCAATAAATGTCTTGAGACTTACCTTCATTGCATGTGTTATGAGAAACCATTTTATTGTCTCATTGGCTTTCTCTAGCTAAATAGCGATACAATACAAATTTTCACACTACAATTCAAACTACCCCATATGAAGTAGTTTGTGCCCAAGCTTTTCCTATACACCTCCTTATTTGCTTGGGGAATCCACTAATGCAATAGTTGATAAATCTTTAATGGTTAGAGAGGCTACTATTAAACTCTTGAAATTTTACTTGTTGCGTGCCCAGAATTGCATGACCCAACAAGCCAACAAACATCGCAATGATTGAGTCTTTTCCATTGGTTATTTGGTTTACTTGAAGTTCCAGGCTTATAGACAACATTTCATGCATCATAGTGCTTTTCACAAGCTATTATCATGGCCCATTTGAGGTTCTGGATCATATGGGACAAAAAACTTATCAATTAGAGTTACCTATTGCAGTTGAAATTCATAATGTTTTTCATGTTTCACAACTAAAACTTTGCAAGGATCCTACTAACAACCTCATTCATCCTTTGCCTATTGATTATGATGCCTTTACTACAAAAGGGGAGCCAAAGGAGATCTTAGATTAAAAGAGGTGAAAAAGGGTCACATAGCTGCTACAAAAGTGTTCGTTAAGGGGAAGAATTTGCCTCGTGATCAGGCAACATAAGAGTTTTACTATGATCTCTTTCACAAGTTTCCTCACTTCCACCTTTGAGGTCAAGGGTGTGCTTATTGGAGTGAATATTGTCACATCATATTTGTGATACTTAATAATACACAATATGTGCTTTTTATTTTATTTCTAGTTTTATATAATAGATGATGACTAGTGAATTGTGAACACATGTTTCTATGATGCCCAAACTGAGGTGCCATTGAGTTTGTTAGAATTCGTCTTTTGTTGTCATGTAATTATAATCAATTTGGGTATTATTACACCCTAAGAGCCAATGAAAACTTTACATCGTCGTTCACTAAAATTCTATCTTCTCTGATTATTCTCTACACAAATATTTACGCTTCTTACAACAAAATCCATTCTAACATTGGAATCCTTATTTTGAGCAAGGATTATTCTTGATATACTCCCTGAATATCTAAATTGTTTCGTAGTCTAAAGTCAAAATCTTGCTCCTTGGATTAAGTATTGTGTTTTGCTGCACTTAAAATGGTGTAAGTGTAACTCCATGATTTTCAAACCGAAAGTGATTCTTGTAATTCATTTGATCCCAATTTTTATGTAGGTGATGTGGTTTATATTGTCTGAATAGTTGTTAGAGTATTATCAACATGCAAAACATTTAGTGCCCATATTTTCACCACAATAATTTTCTTTTAATTCAATGTTACTTATTGATATCCATTATTCACCACTTGAAAAATTTATTACTTGTCTTTTTATGTTAAACTTGTTTTTGTTAACAATTGTACAAACTAAAAAAAAATTATAGGAGTAAATTGTCCTAATAATTTTTGCGTTACACTTAATGAGTCTAAGCTAACCCATTAAGTTGAGTTAAATTGCCTCGATTCTTTTTAAACTTAAAATTTTAGAGTTCAATTTGGCCTTATTTTTAAGTTGTTTGGGATGATCACTAGGGTGAACCCATTTGGTCACCTCTATATACAACTTTACATGTTGAAAAATCTCTCTTTTGGGTATTGGATGTATTATCTCTTCTTTTAGAATTAAGTAGTTGTATCTTTTAAATTAAATAATGAAAAAATTATTAATTATGTGTTTTATATATATAT